ATGTTGTAAGAACGTAAATCTAAGCTTAGATTTTCTCTTTCTATCAAGCGATATTGTCATTCCGCCATCATTGTGTTCATAGTTGTTAGTGAATAACGTAACTGAGGATTCATTAGGTAAAAGAAATCATCCTCTAAAGCCCAATGATAACCCAGAGTTTCAAACAAGGTTCTTGGACTAAAATTCATTGTTAGAGATAAATTCTGTACATTGAACATTTAACATTAGTTCATATTTATAGGCAATTTATTTATGTTAGTATGCGATTGACATTAGAACATTATATACTCACAGTCACGGACTATACAATAATATCTACTGACACTTTCTGACAGTGAACTATTGTGTAATCACACAGACTGTCATTTAACCAGTGTTTAGTCACATCAACCTAGTGTGTTGTCACAACGACTAATAATGATGCAATTGTCAGTCAGTGTAACTAGTTTTTATTCAGCAGCACTAGTGTGTTATCACGGGTTTTAAACGTATCATGGGTTGTGAATCATTATGACGCAGGATGAATGAGGGTATATTAAAATCAATAGACTACATTTCTCAGTGTGTTGTCAAAGTCACTGTGTACCAGTGTGTAGTCACGCGTACTGCACAAATATCTAATTACTATTTGACCATCAACTCAAACATAATGGTGACTACACACTACTGCATTACTGACAAATGTATTTATTTCAGACAATGAAAATCACTATAAAAACATAATATAGAACGGGTCATATAACATATATTGCACATTATGTCTACTTCAGCGGTGCGAGCAAGTGATACCAGTCGTAGGCATGAATCAATATGGTTATTACAAGAGCGAGATGATGATTACAAGAATGAGAGATTTTCTGATTCAAAGGAGTATTATGCCGGACTTCGTAGAGAGTGGGCTTTTCGTGCTAATGAATCACAATCATTATACACAGATTTGACAGAACTTGCTATACCGGTGCCACATAGACTTTCACTTACCATGCCCCAAAAGAATAAAATCAACTATGAAGCATCAGTTAAACGTATACGAAAGGAAAATAATAGAATGATGCTCCGCAAGTGTCGATATTATATGCTCCACATAGCATCTGACATGGTCACAACTGCATTTGATAGGGAGTTAACAGTTACTGAGCGATCTAAGGTTTTGTCTAATGAACAATACCTATCAGATGAGTATATGTCTGATGAAAATTAAAAATTTTAATTACTGTTCACCTTATTAAGCATATAATGTTTATGTCTATGTCCTATTTACTTTAATCATCATTGTTGCTTTATAAGTTTATTTAGTGTGTTGTCATATGTCAACTTTTTCATTGTCACATCTTGTAATTGTCAATATATGCAGTGTATTGTCACTTTAATCAATCTATGCAGTGTGTTGTCAATTTAGTCAATTTATTGTCATATCCAAACTTTTTCATTGTCATTTTCTATCACTGGCAAATCAGTTCCAAACTATGCCGAACCAAGCATATATATACTACTTTTCACAATTGTATAAATACACCACCATCAAACAAAATGTATAGAAGCACATCACATGCAAGTTCTTCTTCACGCAATCACCAAAATAGTTCATCTTTAGGTAACAAACGTGAACGCTCAATAGACAGCTCAACATCGCTGAACAAAGTTCCTTTTATCCAATCATATACCGACTCAAGTGATGTAACGTGGTATGGACGAAAAAGTGCATTCTGCAATGAGTTCATCGACCCTTATCACCCATTCGGACAAACTGGACATATAATTGTTGGGCCTACAACTGATTATCCACCTCCATGTGCTCATATCGAACCCACACCAATATAGCGACAATTATATGAAAAACGTTGTGATCTTAAAGTATTTTGTCATTGGCATAGAATTGTAGTACCAAAGACACATTCGGCTGATATTTACAATTCACAGAATTCAAATAATCATGACGAGGTCATTTCAAGGCTTGAACGTGAAAATGATCAAATGCAGCGTCGTCTTTATTGTTTCCACGCATTCGATTATGCTAAAATAGAGTACTTTGATCCTGAATATGCCGAAATTAAAATTTTAGAGAATCTGTTACTTGTTTCTGATACTGAGCTTTCTGATTTCTCTGATTTGGACGATGATGCGTCTAACACTTTTATTCCATCACGTTTATGTGTACTCGATAATCCTTTATGTTGTTTTGAATATCAATCACATTGTTGACATCTTTTTTTTACATTTATACGTTCTGAATAACTTATATTTTTTCAGAACGTATACTTCTAGAGGAGAAATTATTGGGTGTAACGCTTACAGTTTGTATGGGACCTTAAATTTAATTATATGTATATGTTTTTAAGTGTTAAACTTTAATATGCTAAAAAATATATGTATATTTTAATTATCAAAATTTATTTATTGAATGTAATTCAATTTTTAATTAAATAAAAATAAACTCATCCTCTCACAAAGAGAGTGGGCAAAACATTTTTAGGTATTATTGTTCGGGAAATTCAAAATTCAAAATTTTTTTTTGAATGTAATTAAATTTTTAAATAAATAACATAAACGAAATTTATGTATTTTTAAAATATAAAAATGTATTTATTAAATAATTATTTTTTAAAATAAACATTTAACATTTTACTCAGAAAAAAAGATACAAAACCTATCACTAACGAATAAATTAAAACTCAAGATAAAATTTAAGGTCAGTTATAATAATTGGTGTGCTTGGTCTTGTCGGTGGAGTTTGATATGCTAAAAAATATAAGTATTTTAAAATTATCAAAATTTATTTATTGAATGTAATTAAATTTTAAGTAAATAAAAATTTAATTACTCATCCTCTCAAAAAAAGAGGGAGCAAAATATTTTTAGGTATTATTAGGGAAAAATATGTCATAGAACAAAAAGAAATTTATGTATTTTTAAATTATTAAAATTTATTTATTAATTAAATTGTTAAAGTCATCTAAAAATTAATTGTTACAAAAATATTTACCCGATTTCCTACCCCACTTCCTACCCGATTAATCGGGTAGGAAGTCAGGTAGGAATACCACACCTGTCGGGTAGGGTAGGCAAAGAAAAAATTCTTCCGCAAAGTATCGGGTAGGAAGACGGAAGAACATATTTTCTACCCATAGGGTAGGGTGAACACCCCTATGTGCAGGTGGTACAACATAAAATAATTGAGTAGTTTGATTATTATATATGTATTATTTTATTTATTATATATGTTCTTTACAAGTTGAGTGCATTTTATTAACATTGTTTTATTAAATAAACATCACATTTGTTGGTGTGGTTGAATCACATGTTATTAACAACTGCATGACTTGATCTGGCGTGTGGAGGCAACGACGTCAAACTGAATGACGTTTTTAATAATGGGCTGATCAGGTGGGCTAAGCTATAGTATTGGGTTAAAAAACGCCAAATGGACTGACGTTTTTAGGATAAAGACGTCAGTCTATTTGACGTTTTTATCCTAAAAACGTCAATTCGTTTGACGTTTTTAAAAACTACGTGTATTTGGGAATTATTTTTAAAATTATCCTTATTTAAGACTTTTTTTTAAAAGTGCATGGGATAGGTAAAAAAGCTNAAAACGTCAATTCGTTTGACGTTTTTAAAAATTATATGTTTTTGAGAATTATTTTTAAAATTATCCTTATTTAAGACTTTTTTTTAAAGGTGCATGGGATAGGTAAAAAAGCTCTCTTTTTCCTTTTGTAATATAATATGTGCGTGTGCACGTTCAGTCTTATTCTATATGTTCACCGTTTGTTTCTCACTTGTGAGTGGTGTTGGTGCTGGCATGTGCTGGTTTTATAGTCGAAAGGGTGGAGCCTGGGCTAGTGGGGGTGGGTGGTGCTGTTATCTGAGAAGTAGACAGAGGCAATAATAGCTGGCCTTTGTCTCTTCAGTTAGAAGCAGGGGACCCCCACACACCCATCCAAGGCCCTCTTCAAAAGATGCTTCTCTACTACCAATTATCAGTTCTGTACTGCTTTGTTTATATACATACTCCTCTCTCTCTCTCTCCCCCTCTCTGTGTGTGTGAGTGTGAGAAGGAGCAAGTGGGAGGAGGGGGTTGTTAAGGTTTCAATTTGTTTTTTTGTTGGAGTTTTGGAACATGGAAGTATATTTACTTTTCAACATTGTATTATTGATGCATGATATAAGTCGGTGGTCATAGTTTGAAGGATAAATAAAAACTAAGAAAAGTCTAAAGAAAAAGGTTTACGTGTAAAAATTTAGTATCAAATATATGGCTTTGGCAGGGTTGATGAGCATTACGCTAATTTCCTATTTTAGGTAGTCAATGTGCTGGCCTTAAATGGAAATGGAAGGGAACAAAAGAAAGGCAGGTGGTATCCATTCCCTTCTACGCCTCTAAAACAACAGACAGCTTAACCTTTTTTCTATCACTGATGCTATTGGGACATAATTTAGAGACATAATGAATTGTAATCAATGAAATAATAGTGAATATTTATTGATGGGTTCTATTGTAGTATTAAATGAATTTATTATTATTTTATTAGTGACAATTCATTATATCCCCAAATTATGTTCATAAATTATGTCCCAATAGCATTGCTCTTTTTCTATTCCTTGCTTTCTCTCTCCTCTCAAATCTCAATGTTTGTATATATTGAGAGCCAATATGGTATGTAGGATAGGATTAAAAAAAATACTTCTGAGAATTGTTTCAAGACTTATAATGAACTAAGGACAAGTTTACAACTCAATTTGATAAATTTACGATAACTTGTGATCACTTCGACATGAATCTTAATATCTTATGATCGATTTTAAGTTATGTTAAATCGAAACTTAATGTTTTGAGTTGTAACTAATCTTTTAAGTTAGCAACTTGATATCAAATTAGTTGGAAATCACACTACACGTAAAAAAAAAAAAGGTACTGGAAGAAGCAATAAGGAGGACGAAAAAGAACAAAACTCTCCTTTAGACATTACTACATTAGGGTACAGTGAGAGACTAGTAAAATACAAATGAACAATTTTCACATCAAGAGCCCCACAGCGGTGGGGGCAAAAAATGGGGAAGGTACCCTAATTAATGCCCTATTTGTGTAGATATTAGAGGGTCTTTTTCAAGTGAATCTGACTTCATCATCTCATCACTAGTGCACAAAATCTCATCAATTTTAGCCATCTTCTTAGCCTCCATGGAAACAACCTGTGAAGTTGATGATACTGGTAATAATGAAGATGAAGCAGTACTTGCACTTAAAGAAGATTGTGTGAGCTCTTTGGCTCTCTCTACTTGAACCGTCCAATCTGTTCTCCATAAAACATAGAGCATAAGCAAAGCACATGAGGCCTGAGCAGCAAGCAAGCCTAGCCATAGTCCAGCAAACCCTATTTTGGCCACAAACCCCATTAAGATAGCCACTGGCATACCCACCAAGTAAAATGACCCCAAATTGATATTCGCTCCAATTTTGGGCCTTGCACTTCCTCTTAACACCCCACAACCGGTGGTTTGTGGGCAGTTTCCGAGCTCGCAGAGGCCAATGATCGGTAATGCCATTGAAGTAAGCTCAAGAATCTCAGAATCCTTGGTGAAAAACCGACCCCATTGATGCCTCATCAAGGTGGTGAATAACATGGCGGCGAGGCCTAAAGCCACGGCCAAGGCGAGCGAGATAATCATTGATGTCCGGGCTTTCGCCGGCCGGTTTGCGCCGAGTTCATTGCCGACTCTCGTGGACACTCCGAGGCTGAGAGATGAAGGGAAGACATAGACTAGAGAGGTTGTTTGGATGAGAATTCCCATTGAAGCAATGGTTGTTTTTGGGTTTACAAGAAGTCCACATAGCATTATCATGAACTCATACCACCACCACTCTAGGCAAACGGAGACACAATTCGGCACGGCGAGAGCGAGCAACGACGACCATCCGTGGAGGCAGTCTGAGCTCGGCGCCACCCAGGAGCCTCTGTAAACGCCGGAAAAGTACACAAACGAATATAGTAAGAGGAAGAGATTGAGATTAGTCCAGACCATTGCCAAGGCCACTCCAGCGATACCCATCTTGAAATAAACTACCAAAAGGAAATTTAGAGGCACATGGAGGAGGAGAGAGATTGCAGAACAGTAAGTTACTGGTAATGTAATGCTTTGGGTTCGTAGATAGATACGCAGTGGATGGAGGAGAGAGAGAGAGAATAGGTCTGGAATGGCGAAAATGATGAAAGTATGAGCCATGGATGATATGTCTTCATCTTGGCCACACCACAAGAGGATTCTTTTCATTTTAAGCCACATGAAAGAGATGGGTATTGAGATAGAGAAGAGAAGAAGTACAGTTCTTTGTAAAGTTAGGCCAAGAAGCTTCATTTGTTTTGCACCGTAAGCTTGTCCACAAATGGGTTCCATGCCCATGGCCAAGCCGGCGATGACGGAGTAGCCGGTGATGTTTGCAAAACCCATTGAAAGAGAACCGCCGGCGAGCTCAAGCTCGCCAAGATAGCCAAGAAAAAGCATGGAGACCACAGCTCTTGCGTATAGGAGTAGTCCTGTGACTGTTGTTGGGCATGAGATCTTCCCTATAGCTTTGATTTCTTCAAGGGCCTAAATGCAAGAATATGAAAGAGTGAGAGTTTGCTGAAGAAAAACATATGGTAATAATTGTTTTTAACTTCTTGAAAATGAGTTGATTTGGAATTACTACCTCAGTAAGGGTTGGCCATCTATGAAGTTCTTCATCATCAGTGTTAAGATCGTTTGTTTTGTTGGGGTTTATGAATTGGGTTTTGTTGTTACAGAAAAAAGAGGATGGAGAAGATGGCTTTGGGTTACACATAGCTATCTTGTTGTAAGAGAACTAAGAGATATGTTAGCTAAAAGTTGAAATTGAAAAAAAAAAAAGAAGGGAAAACTCTGTTTCTTCTTGGGTTGTTTGTTCTGTTCTTTTGGGGCCTTGGATGGGGTTGGAGGGATACAAGATGGGTTTATAAACTTTGAAGCATTGAGTCCTATTCATGGCTCCCTAGAAACGTGTCAAAACGTCGAAGAGTTGAGAAAAATGCCATCAAAAAGCGGATACTAGTTCTTGGAATTCTTGCTTAGAGGGGTGGGGGCCGATTCCTCTCTCTCTCTCTCTCTCTCTCTCTCTTCTTGTTATGACCTAAACGTAGAGCAAAGGTTTCACTGTAAGGACATGAAGCTCTGATCTTATCTATTCGTCATAAGATGGTGCCGTCCACATAGATGGTTAGGGGTATATTTTTAACAGCCAAGCAGGTTACACCCCTAAAAACTTGGTTGAGAGATAATGTTTAAGCAGTGTGATGGTGGGTTTGCTCTAGTTTAATCCATTTGTTTTTGATCGAGTGCTGAGGATAATCTTTTAAACATATACTTTTTTAGGTTTTGATCTCTACCCAAAAAACAAGGGAATAAAAAAGTTATCTTTGGATATAGCTAGGCAAGTGGAATTGATGTCAAGCAATTCAATTCTCTCTAGTTGTATTGAAATGACGCAGAATATTGGCATAAATATATCTCTGGACATGGCAGTGAAGTGTGGCCATGAAAATGTTGACGTGTTGTAATGCAGCCATGCATGTTACATTCCTCTCACACCCCATGTGATGCACCACAGTGTCCGAGCATGACTCATGTTGTCTGCAGACAGATACTTGAACAACCAAACTGCCCTTGGCTACTTGCCTGCCCAACTAGAGAGGTACAAGTTTGTGCAAAATCTAGGCCCCGCCATTTGGACTTTGGCCCTATATATATAAGAGAGAAAGACGAGTCACATACCACATGACATGGTAGTAACAAGTGCTCTGAACTTTCAGGTTAGCTCAAATGGTAATTAGTCATTTGACAAATGTCTTAAATTGTTGTTGGTTAAATGTTCAATACTCTAAATAATGAAAATATTTTTTTGAATCATCTCTCTTAAATTTAACCCCTGTGCGTGAAGAAACAAGTTAATTACCAATCATGGGTTTAAACGGGCAATTGGTGGGGGTTCTTGAGTAATTATAAAAAATAAAAAATAAAAAAGTAGTGTTCACACGCAATGATAATATTCCACAACATTAGTTATGGAATACAAAAGTTGATTTTTTTTTTATTGACAAATTGATACGTGTTAGATATTTATTGAGAATGTCTAATATTTTATTTGTGATATACACTAGTTAATATTGTCATATGATATATTATACACATTGAAAGTTTTTCATATATAAGTGTGATATTTGTATGTCATCAAGATAAGAATTGTATAGAGGGATTGTGGAAGAGATTCTTCTTCTTTTTCTAAGAAGTGGGATGGTTAAGATTGTGTTCCATTACTAAGGAGCTTCACAACTTAAAACCCCTGTTTTATAAGTCAAATCAATCTCACATGATCGGTTTTTGGTGGGCCTTGTTAAGTCCTAATCATCACCTGGATCTTTCTCAATCAATTACTTAGGTCACTTTCGCAAGGATAAGTATATGGCACCGACAATTTTTCAATTTAGTATTGTTTTTGATAAATAGGGTTGTTTTGCATTGATATAAAGTTTAAATCGAATTTATTTTAAGATTTTTTAAAATCATATCTTCCACTCCATAAAGTTATAACTGATCCTTTTGAGTTGTGACCTTAATAAATTATTACTACTAACTAATCCCTACTTGAAATTTTCAATATGGTACTAAAATCTTACTGACTAATCCCTACTTAGTTGCAAATTATATCATTAAATTGATTTGCACACATCAACTAACAAGTGGGGTTTGTGGGTATATATCCAAAAGTGTCAAATCCACTTTGATATTTTCACCTTTTCGTTTGTATTAATAAAGTTATCTTCATGGGGTATGTGGGGGAGGTGTCATGTATCATGTAAGGGACCATTATGGTTAATGGGAGTCACAGTAGATATGGCTGTGTGAAGAAGAGGCAGATGGGATAAAAGGGAACAATCCGATGGATAACTACGTGCACTAATCGAGACCACTTCATTTGTGCCCCTTCTCTCACAACAAGGATGAGGGTGAGACTGCCTCTAAGTGGGAGCCTTCGCACTGCTACTGTGTGTCTGTGAGGCAACAGAAACAGAAGCCCTACCATCATCTTCCCAACAAGACAAGAAGAGCACTGAATTTCTGTTCATAATTTTCCCACCACCCCAGTCTGAGAAACTTCAAGATCCAGTTTTCATTTGTTTCTTTTTGTGTAAGAATATTAATTTTCTTAGAAAACCTTACCCTCTTGTCAGATATCATGTGTCTCCTGCTAAATAAGTAAATTGCCAATGAAGAGTTTTCACTCTGTCGAGTGGAAAAAAATAGAAACGGTAAATTTACTACATTGTGATATGAGCATCACAGGTTTAAGTCATAAAAATTATCTTGAAAGGATCAAGCGTCCTATATTAGACCCTCTCCCTATCTTAATAGGAACCTCCCGCACTGAATATTTTCAATTGCATTACAATGGGTTTAACCATGAGCAAACACCATTAGATTGTAAACATAAGTGGTAAAAGACCAGTTCTGAATTTGGATTTTAACAATTTCCGAAGGTTAGGTCACGAGAGATTTATTTTTTATAAATTTTTTAGTCCCGTCATGAATGATTTGTTTTTGATCAAATCAAAAAAGAGACTNTTATAACTGATCCTTTTGAGTTGTGACCTTAATAAATTATTACTACTAACTAATCCCCACTTGAAATTTTCAATATGGTACTAAAATCTTACTGACTAATCCCTACTTAGTTGCAAATTATATTATTAAATTGATTTGCACACATCAACTAACAAGTGGGGTTTGTGGGTATATATCCAAAAGTGTCAAATCCACTTGATATTTTCACCTTTTCGTTTGTATTAATAAAGTTATCTTCATGGGGTATGTGGGGGAGGTGTCATGTATCATGTAAGGGACCATTATGGTTAATGGGAGTCACAGTAGATATGGCTGTGTGAAGAAGAGGCAGATGGGATAAAAGGGAACAATCCGATGGATAACTACGTGCACTAATCGAGACCACTTCATTTGTGCCCCTTCTCTCACAACAAGGATGAGGGTGAGACTGCCTCTAAGTGGGAGCCTTCGCACTGCTACTGTGTGTCTGTGAGGCAACAGAAACAGAAGCCCTACCATCTTCCCAACAAGACAAGAAGAGCACTGAATTTCTGTTCATAATTTTCCCACCACCCCAGTCTGAGAAACTTCAAGATCCAGTTTTCATTTGTTTCTTTTTGTGTAAGAATATTAATTTTCTTAGAAAACCTTACCCTCTTGTCAGATATCATGTGTCTCCTGCTAAATAAGTAAATTGCCAATGAAGAGTTTTCACTCTGTCGAGTGGAAAAAAATAGAAACGGTAAATTTACTACATTGTGATATGAGCATCACAGGTTTAAGTCATAAAAATTATCTTGAAAGGATCAAGCATCCTATATTAGACCCTCTCCCTATCTTAATAGGAACCTCCCGCACTGAATATTTTCAATTGCATTACAATGGGTTTAACCATGAGCAAACACCATTAGATTGTAAACATAAGTGGTAAAAGACCAGTTCTGAATTTGGATTTTAACAATTTCCGAAGGTTAGGTCACGAGAGATTTATTCTTTATAAATTTTTTAGTCCCGTCATGAATGACTTGTTTTTGATCAAATCAAAAAAAAGACTAATCGAAATATGCACAAATTGAATCGGCCATCACCTTCCAACCCAAAAAAAAAAAAGCCATCAGGGTTTGTTAACTAATTCTCAGAAAGCTCCAGGATCGGGAGTGGCATCTGATTCACTTTTTAGGCTTGTCGGAAATCTGTTTCACAAGAAGCTATTCTTCAACAGGAATGGAAAGAAAATTTTTGAGCATCATAATATGCTAGTTTAGTCCATAATGGTAATTTTTGTACGGACAAAACGCCATTCCATAGTTTGGTACTTTTCCACTGATTCTCAACAGTAGTAGAAATACTAATCAAGAAACAGAACATATTCACTGATGCTATCCCTTAACCTTTACCCGAAAAGGATGGTTTTTAATTTTTTAGGTTTTGTTCAGTCACTCTCTCTCCATGAGTTGTTATAATTCAAGGAATAATGATATTGGACTTTAACATTATTAAATTATGTCGCTGTCACATCATTATATCATTTTTTTTTTAAGTTTTAATAATATTATTCAAATTCAAGACATGTCCAAAATATTCTAATCCAACCCGCTTCTAGTTTTTTTTAAAAAAAAGCAAAATGATAAGGTTAGAATCCGTGATTGTGGGCATAAGTGAACTTGACCACTCTCTCACCTCATAGAAATAGAAATGCATTCAAGCATGCCAGAATAGATAGGCAAACTCTCTAACTAGTTATGCAATACATATTGAACTAATTTGTTAATCTAATTCATCGTAGACCCATCAAATATTAAAATTTAATATTTATCCAATAATTTTAATGATACAACATTATTACATCATTAAACTAAGTTAAATTTTTAGGTCTAAATCTCATTACTCTATTTTTAACGAGGTGACTAAAGTTTCTCATGCATTTCTAGCAAGCACAGTGTATAGGGGCATCCAAGCCAAACTTTTTTTTTAAGAGTAATATTATTTAGACTTAAAATTTTAATTTAATTTATTAATTTAATAATATAAATTTTTTATAATAATTAAATTAATATTAAATTTTAATATTTAATAAATCTTGTAATTAATTTAATAATTATAATAAATTATGTCCTAATTACTTTACGGGAGTTTTACAGATTCTCTAAAGTACAATAACCATCAGTATTTATTCCAAGGTTCAGATGTGTGTGTGAGAGAGAGAGAGAGAATAAAAGGCATGTCTCCATCAAGGTTTCAATCAACATAGTTATCAAACCTCTGTCATCCACCAACAAGCACAATTCACAATGTCCATACAA